TAGAGTTTTAATTATTAATTTAATTAATACCTGATTTTTGATTAAATAAATTTTTGAATTTAAAAACTTAAATGACTGATTTTATGTAATTTCCTCGTACTGTATTCTACAAAGGTCCCACAATAATTTTCCATAAAAATAACCTCAAAAACCGCAAGAAGGGAATGGTTTAGCCGTTTCACACTTGTCACGCACCGTTGCAATCAACTACTCGTGCGGTTCATCCTTCCTCTCTGTTCTCGCCCCCTCCCAAGCCCCAACCCTAGATTCGACCTGGGAGTTCTGCTATCTTTGAAAGACTGAAACTTTCTCGTTTGGTACCAAATTTCTTCATATATTGCAACTGCTGACTTTTTTCAAAGAATAATCAGGTATGAATTCTGATTCTGTTTTGAGCTTAAGTTAATCTTTTATTTGTAAAATGAACTGGGTGTGTAGCTGTGTTACTGGAAATTGAGTTTTTACATTCATGTTCTATTTTTCGCTTTCCATTAAACCCTCGAAATTCTTATTCTTTATCTGTATTTTTTCTGCTTTTACCATATTTGTTTCCTTAATTTACCTGAAATTTTTAAATATGATTTCTTCTTTAGGACTTCTACACTGTTTTAAGTAAATTAACAGATGGTCCATTATTACTATTGAGTATAACTAATATTTCCGTTATTCCGCATGAGTTGCAGTGGGTCTGAAACCTCTGGGTTTGTACTTGTGTATTCAAACATCCCACTATTTGATTCAATGTAAGGGAGTTGCATTTTGTTGATAGGCTGTTATTTGATTAAAAGAGAAGTTTAATTCACGTTTTCCCATATGGAACCACCAAGCGGTTCCATGTTTAAAATAAGTTTGGTCCAATAATGAGGAAAAACAGAGGGAACGGGTTTTGCCCACCCCAAGGATTTTGATAGGAAAGTCCTATTTAATACGAAGTTATCATAATTAGGAACATCTCAACCATAATTTAGTTGAATTGCTAGATGACTTGATGAGTTCGTGAAGCAAAAATAAGAAGAGTCGTTTATGAAATTGATGATGACCTATCAGGTAGTAGAAATGAAAACAAATATTTCAAGTGCTAGGAAAAGTTCCAAGCCTGATAAATTGGTGAGAGTAAGATCGTGTTCCAATTGTGAACCAAAATTCTGCATTGAGTGCAATTGGTGAAAAAAAAATTATTGCAGTTTAGATGTTTGCTAGATTGTAATTGCAAAAAATTTATTGTCAGTACATGTATGCTAGAACATAATACTATTGTTTGATGAGTTCCGCCAGAGATAACTGATAAAGGGCTAGAATATAACTATATTGTGCTAATTTTCTTAAATAGTATAGAATTTGAAGCTCACTGCAACAATGGAGAAATCTGAAAACTATCTCCACCGACCTTGAACACCAATAAATATTAGGTGGCTGTATGTGTGAGTGATGTTAGTGGAGAATTAGTATAGTAAATATGCTGAGTGCTTGTGCGGGTTCTTCCTTTTTCATAAATAATTAATAGTGAGCAGTGTGTGTCATAAAATCAAATTGCATAAGCCTCTTTTGTAATAAAAGATGAAAAGAGAGTTTTTTTTGTGCTCTAAATTCTACCATATGTCAACGTCAAACAACAATAAACA